TAATCAAGAAGGATCAGGCTGGATTCCATTCTGGTGAGCAGTGTGTGAGTCAGATCTGGCTTTATAATAATAAAAATAAAATAAAAATAATCCTTGTACTTGATGTATATCTTATCGAGTCTTTGAGACATCTCAAAGCGCTTCACTAAAAAATATACTGTAAAGTGAATCGACTGTGTATTTTGTGGGGCAAATCACGGCAACCAATTGCGTACAGCAGTGTCCCACAGACAGTCGTGGATTGAATGACCAAATTATTAATGTCTCTGAAGGTCAGCACCTCCAACAATGCAGCACAACCTCAACGTTGCATTGGAGTGTCAGCCTGGATTATACGAGTTTCAAGTTGCAATGTGGGGCTTGAACACACAACCTTCCGACTCAGGAGCAAGTTACCAGCAACTGACCCAGGCTGACGCACACCATGATATTAACAGCACCTCTGATATTAACTACAGTAAACCACCCGCTTTACCAGACCCCGGGTATCTGGAATTTGTACCTAGCCAACCCAGGCCTAAAGCGGAAATTAAACAAAATCTTTTCTACGGGCACCGCATTTCTGGGGCCTGTTTGTAGACTCCTATCGGCCCATATCTCCTAGTGAGAGCCCTCTAACCTCACCAATGAATTGACGGTATATTTTGTGGGCGAAACACGGCAGCCAATTGGGCACAGCAGTATCCCACAAACAGTCGTGGATTGAAGTGACCAATTCATTATAACACTATATTTTTTAAGGAATTATTGATCTGTAAGACCCTTAACTTTCTGTCCCCTCACTCAGAGCAACCCTTTTAGGAACTTGACATGAATATGGTCTGCACTTGCCACCTTATCCCAGCAAGGCGGCGCAGCGTGGAGTATAGTAAGCTGAATCATTAAGGCCTTCAATCTGCTCAACATCGCCCACCAGTTCTTTATTCAGATATTATCTCTCCTACCAGAGATCAGTTACCAACACTTGGTCACAAGCAGCAGACCGAGTTTACTTCGATAAGATTTCTGGTACCTCTGTAAAGGTCCTCTGCTTTCACCTGGCTGAGCAGAATGCAGATTATTTGCTGATGACTCTCAGCCTTAGAAGCAAGAAAGACATCAGCTACACCTATTGTGGAGTCCACGCCATCAGCTCCCACAAGTGCTTAATACCAGACGTCTTGGTGAGCAATATTCTTCATGTGCCTGGATATTTTGGTACAATCCGAGTAGCACAAAGAGCACTAATCACTCCAAACTGGCAGTCATCCCACGTTGCAAGATTAGCAATTTACCCAAGATTTGCAAGGGCTGCTCTCATGACACACAAGGTTAGTGTTCTGACGTTTTCAGAGCAGTGACCATCAGTGTAAGTGGAGAATATAAGATGTGCTAAGTTATTCTCCGCGTAATTCATTGCTGTGCCGGTGTGAAGCATGACGATGCCAGGTAATTGGCAAACCTCAGAAAGGAAGCAGAGGGCACTGCTGTTAAAGTGATTTGCTTCATCTTTGATGCTCTCGCGCTGACGAGGAGTGAGGCAGGGGAAGAGGCAGGCGATGTAATGGAGGAGAAGAAAAGCGATCTTGGTCAGAAACAGATACGAGGGAGCAAGGAGAGCTGAGGAGAACCGAACATCAAACTGAATAACTAGTGAACAGGTGGACCACATGAGTTACCACGTCCTCCTGAATGCAGATGTCAAACCAAACATTGCATAAAATTAAATAGGATAATATTCATTGAAAAGGCCAATCTGCCCAACTAGTCTGTGCCAGTGTTTGTAATCCACACCACCAATTTCACTCCCTCTCAAGGGTGTTCACAATAAGATTTCTTAACTTGCAGACATGAGGTCATCCCAGAAGAACCCAGTATTTAATTGCACCCAACCCAGCCATCTGCTGTTGAGAGCTCTCCCAGTCCTGAAAAAAACAACAAAATTACATTTCTATAATGCTTTTCACGTCGGGAGGATGTCCCAAGGGCCTGGACAATTCATGTTTTCGGACCCAAGCTGGGGGTCAGGATCGGGGAGGGTGCAGAGCGGGGGGGAGGGGAAGGAGGGTGACCGAAGGCACGGTTGAAGATGAGGGTCTTGAGATGGGTCTTGAAGGAGGCGAGGGAGGGGCCGAGGCAGAGGCACAGCAGAATGGAGTTCCAGAGTGTGGGGGCAGAGTGGCAGAAGGCCCGCCTGCCAATGGTGAGGCGGGCAAGTTGGGGGACATGAAATAGGTCGGAGCCCACTGAGCGGAAGGAGAGAGCAGGATGATAGGGGGTTAGAAGATCGCAGAGGTAGGGGGGAGCAAGGCCATGAAGGGCTTTGAAGGTGAGGACCAGGATCTTGAACTGTATCCTCTTTGTGATGGGAAGCCTGTGGAGTCGGGCGATGATCGGGGCGATAGGGTTACGGAGCCTGGTGCGGGAGAGGACACGGGCTGCAGAGTTCTGGATGATCTGAAGCCTATGGAGGGAGGAGTTGCGGAGGCCGACAAGCAGGGAGTTTGTATGGTCGAGCCTG